CAAATTCTCAAAAAGAAAATACATATCCACTCAAATATTCACCATCTCTACTCTCTAGATTCCAATGATGTATTATTTTTAGAAGAATCAGTAACAAAAGGGCACTGGAATTATGTGCAAATATCTGAATCTTCAGTTCACTGAAATAATTGGGATCAGTCATGTTCCTAGTCTTTACTTACCAGTACCTCTATCCACATTCATTCAAGATGTTAAAGTATGCATAGAAAATAATGGCAGTACATAACACAGGACAGTTGTAAAATGCAGTCATAGAAAGTAACGTTTGCTACATGAGGGCAGAGACAGAAGACAGCAGGTCCAGTTAGTGTTCAAGATTGTGCCATTTTCTGCATTTCATATATGCAGATAGTGGTGTACAGAGATTTTCTCATTTTCAGTGAGTAAAGACAAAGCCAATGAAAGACTTGTGGGTACAGAAGCTAGAAAGTAGCCCATTCATCTCCCTAACAGCAATAGAACAATCTCCACTAGCAAATTGGAGTATTTTTATTTGTATTATTAATGTGCTGTACAGAGGGGTTTCCATTTCATAAGTCAAGTAATGAGTACATCTTTTGTGGGGGCAATGCCACCTTTCCTTTGCTTTCTCACAGAGGGAGTATTTTTGAAGAGATGAAAATTATTCCTACTAAAGAAAGCATAAGCAACAGATATTTGTTCTTGTATAGGGATGGACTTGTCATTAAAAAAAAAAATCCCTGGTCTGATTCCCTCACTAAAACTTACCTGCTGGCATACAGCCATTAGTTTGCTTTGCTTTTCTCAATAAATAACAATGGGTGCCATGACAATTATATTCTGTGTTCTCTGTTTGATGTTGTCTCTAAAACCATATAGCACAGACTAGTTTATGGCCTTTGTCTGTCTGTACATTCTAGTCCCTATGTAAGAAAAGAAGTCTTTGGTAACTCTGCTTAGATATTTTCATTCTTGTATCTGCATAGATTGCCTGGAAATTTTGAGGGTCATTTTTTTTGTTTTTGCCTAAATGTTATATTTTTAGGATTGAATCAAGACTAATAATACATAAAAAATCAGATGTTGAGATGAATACCACTATATCAGGATATATCAGCATTTGATTTTCTGAATTACATTTTAGGAACTGTAGCTCATTTTCTACAACTGACTAGTGCATCGAGGGATTTTTATCTGTCATAAAATCTCTCCCTGCTTTCTTCCCCAGACAAATTTTAACAAAAAGAAAAAGCTTTCAGATAGTCTATATGGACCTATGTTTGTTTCGGTGGTTTAGAAACCAATCCATTAATTTCTTCTAGGATTTGATAACAATGGTGCTTCTGTGGTGTTGGTTATCTTCCAGTTTAGTACTTCAATTCACTCTGAAAAGAGCTAGACATTCAGAAGTGTTATATATCTATCACATTTCCATTGATTTTTTTTGAAAATTTATATTCCAGAAGTGACTTACAGCTTATGTAAGACAGATCCCACGACAAATCTTTCCCTTTTAGTTTCGGAGAGATAATATTCTACTCTGCAGACTGAATAGGCCAGCATTGGGAACTAATTCTAATATCACTCCCACTTCAAGCTCCCTAAGTCATAGGGGTATTTTATGGAAGTGTGTAGGGAGAAGTAACCAAGTGAAGCACAGACAGTTGTCTTTTATATTTACACAAATAGTATTGAATAGAATATTATATTGACCCTATCTATTATATAATTTTCCAGGGTGTCTGTGAAGAGTGTGAGGTTTCTGGCCATGTTAATATTTTTAAGGTAGACATTACATATTACATTTGAGTAGGTGACAAAAAGTTGTTTACATGTTATTTTGTTAAGAAAAATCAATGCCAGGAAGTGGTGCTGTGGCTCAAGTGGTAGAGTGTTCGCCTTGAGCTGAAGAGCACAGGGACTGTGCCCAAGCCCAGAGTTCAAGCCCATGACCAACAAAAAAAATAAATAAAAAATATAGATCCAAGTCTTAAAAAAAAGAAAAAAAAAGAAAAATGAATGCCAAACTCAAAGAAATTAAACAAAAGGACAAATATCACTCCTTTGTGAAAGTGAGGCCAATCTCAAAGGTGATCTTTTTAGTTAATAGATTCTCATGTTTTCAGTTGAGCTATAAAGAATACTTTCCTTGACTTTTAATGATTATTGGAGTCGAGATGCTATGCTCTCTGTAAATAATAGGAAAAGGCTAAGAAGAAGTTCAGACTAGAGGGTTGGTTAACAAACGTTTCAAGAGTACTTGGTTAAAAGAATAAATTTCTAGTTGCTCATGTGTCTCTGGCCCACATATTCCCATCATTCCTTAGTATATAGAAAAGGGATCTTGAAGTCCAATTTGTGACAGCTATTTAAGGAATAACTGATAGATATGGAAAAATGAAAAGTAAGTCACTCTTTGAAACTCTGCCAAGGTGCCTTCCCAGAGAGATTTAGCTGGGTTGGAGCTGGCCATGCACGGATCTACTCCAAGTTCCTCAAGATATAAAGCATGAACATTTGCTTTTTGGGGTGTGTGTGTGTGTGTGTGTGTGTGTGTGTGCAAAGTCTTTGTAGGTAGCCCAAGATGGCTTCAAACTTGCTATATAGCCCAGTCTGGCTCAGAAATCTTAATCCTCTGACCTCAGAGTCTTAAGTGCTAGGGTTACAAGTGTGCATAACCCTATCCAGCTCAACTGTGAGTTCTTAGAAAAATGTTAGACCTCTCATGCTGTCTCCTGATAAATTGTCCTCTGTAGTACCCAAATGAAGCAAGCATGGAATTTTTCTCTTTTTTGAAAATATTTTTTGGTAGTACTGGGACTTGAACTCAGTCCTGTGCTTGCTAGATAGGCACTACTAGTTAAGCCACACAGACTGATGGCTTTTCTTTTTTTTTTTTCCTTTTGCTGAAGGTACTGAGGCTTGAACTCAGAGCTCACGTTATTACTTAGTTTTTCCATTCAAGGTTCATACTTTCTGCTTTTTCTGCTTAACTGGGAAGAAGAATCTCTTGGATATTTCTATCTGGGTTGGCTTCGAACCAATATTCTTAAGTCATAACCTCCTGAGTAGCCAGGATTACAGACTTGTGCCTCCACTGCCTGCCTTGATTTCTTGATGTATGCAGAAAGAACTGTGTGGAAGCTGCATTCAAGAGGACTTTGGTAGGGTGTCACATATTCACACGAGCTGGAATGACATTATGACCCTTCAGCAAATACAAGCCTCTGAAGCACTGACAGAGAATACTGCTACCTAAAGGAATACTGGATGAGTTTGCAGGTGTTTGTGAAGTGTCTTTGCCAAGGCTTGGTTTGTTTCTAGTAAAACTCAAGTCAGAAGGGGGAACCTAGTAGGTGGTTTTTGGGTGATGGGTGAAACTCCCTTGAGGAGATCTTTCTTGTGGGAACGTGGTAGCTATCCTGAGGTAGGGCCCTTCTTTCCTTCATGTGCAAGTGCTTGCCTTTCCACTGTCCATCCAGCCGAAGGCAGCCAGCCAAAGGCCCTCCCTGGAAGCCAAGAGCAGGTGTTGATTCAAAGCTCCTAGATTTTCTAGCCTCCAGAACAGGAGCCAAAATAAATGCCTTTGTTTCCCTCCACAATCAGGTTTTCTGTCATAGCAACAAAAGGGTTAAGACAGCCTCCATCTTTGTTAAACATTTCCGTGATTCTCTGAAAAATAGTTTTCCCAGCAGAGTCCTTACCGATGAAAGTCCCAACTGCTCTAGACTTGTCCATGGCAAAGGAGAGCCTGGGGATGCTCAGAATGTTAATGCTTCCTAAGAAAAGCAATTCATAATGAATAATAAGAATGAAGTGACTGCTCTTGCAACATTATATAAACAGGGGGGTTAGTAGCCTCTGATTTGAATCTAATGACACACCATTTACCCTGTCTTTAGACTCAGTGTCACCAATTCCATACTACAGAAGAATGACCATTATTATTATTTTTTGATCAAGATTGTTACAAAGAAGTATAGAAATGTGCTATTTAAGTGGATAGTGTCATGGCTTCTATCATAGATTACCAACCCCAAACTTGTGTGCTTAGGACTAGGGTCTCATAGGCAGCAATATTTAGAGCGAGGTTCTTTGGGGTGATAGGACCATGAGATCTCTGACCTCCTGAATGGGGTAATCAACTCCATTCATGGATTCGTGGTTCAATAGGTTATGGAGGAGGGGGCTCTGCTACAAAAACAGCTCATTCTCTTCCCCAACCTTCTGTCCGTCATGAGTTCTGCCTTGACATAGGCCCAAGGCCACAGGTCCAACTGACCCTGGACCGAATCCTTTGAAATAGTGCACCAAATGAAACTCTTCTTAAGGTATTTTGTCACAGTGATGTAGAGCTAACTAACACAGATATTCACTTATGTAGAAGAAAGGTAGAGAGAAAAGGAAGAAGGAAGAAAGAACCAAAGAAAGAACCAAGAAAGAAAGAAAGAAAGAACCAAAAAAGAAAGAAAGAAAAAAACAGAAAGAAAGAAAAGAAAGAAAGAAAGAAGAAAGAAAAAGGAAGGAAGGAAGGAAAGAAGGAAGGAAGGAGAGAGAGAGAAAGGAAAGAAGGAAGGGAGGGGGGATGGAGGGAGAGAGAGGGAGAGAGAGAGAGAGAGAGGAAGAAAAGAGAGACCTTGGCTATTTTTTTTTTTTGTTGGTCATAGGGCTTGAACTTTGGGTCTGGGCCCTGTCCCTCAGCTCTTCCGCTCAAGGCTAGTGCTCTACCAATTGAGCCACAGCACCATTTCTGGTTTTCTGGTAGTTTATTGGCTATCAGAGTCTCAATGCTCAGATCTCAGCCTCCTGAGTAGCTAGGATTACAGGTGTGAGCCACCAGTGCCCGGCTGACCTTGGCTATTTTATTTTTCATTCTCCTGGGAAGACATTTAGATTAGGAAAAATTATTTAAAAATTCATTATTACTTTAGTATAATTTTGTGGCCTATGGATCTCCACAATTTAGGAAAAAATTTGAAAATTAAGAGGAGAAAAAGACATGTAAACAGTAACTGTTGTAATTATAAAACTTTATTTCACACTTACTTCCATTAAATCTTTAGAAGCACCATGTAGTGAATTGGCAATCTAGAATGAAGACACTAGAAAGCTTTAGTCACGGTCAACTGCAAGCTGACAATGGGAAGTTATAGCTTCATGGAGCATGGGAACAAGACCATATTTAGAGAAGTTCACGCGAGAGTCTCATGACAAATGCACATATCAGGCTGACACTGATTTGCTCACACTTTCTATATGGTCAGAGCCCACGGCCTGTGCATGTAAACATGGGAAGAAGCATTTTATCACCTTGATAGTCGACAGTTTGCTGATACTCGCCCCAGGAAGCATCAGTGTTGCTGATAGTGTTACTGATCAGTCTGAAGACATGGATTCCTTTAAAGCCTAAATAATGCTCCAGAGCTGTGCTAAACACTGTGCAGCTCACCCGCTATGCCTTCCAACATGTGGTGGTGTGTGTGTCTCTAATCTGGTCACCAAACCATTATTATTTACTAATGAAATTGTGAAAAAACTACATTTTTGGCAAAAAATGTTTTTAATTCAGTCCTCTATTAAAAGACAATTGCCAAGGTGTTTTACATAAATTTAATTCACAAGCATGTACACAAGGGAATCACTATAAAGACATTGCTTTCCTGGTTTATGAATAAAAAGTTTATCTTCTAATTACACTAAAACATACAAAAAATAATCTACAAAAATCATTTACAATTGATTTTCGCTAAAGGAAAAAAAATCTTAGGAAACAAAAATGATTGCGTGGTGGTAGTATTTTTGCCATCAAAAAAGGAATGTAAGTAACCAATAAATATAATGTGCTTTTTCCTTATAGACATATTTACACTTGAGTCTTTGGCTTATGTTATTTTCTAAAAAGAATTTTAAATGATCCAGCCATCATTGCACATTAAAAGAAAATAAGACAGTTATATATATTTATATATTTATATAGAGATCTGCTACACTTGGAACATATAAAAATGAAATTGACTGTGAATTTACACAGCTCTTCTTTGTTCTTATTCCTTTAAGGATTCAACAGCTTTTTATTTTAAAAAGGGAGGAAAATGCCACATAGAAAGTATTAATTCATGCAACATGTAGTGGATGCTCTACCTAAGGCAGGAGAGAAAATGTTGTGTATTCACTTTACAAACACTAGTAAGTTGTCATTTGAATCTGGTTCTTATTAAACATATTTCATGTGGCATGAGATGTAGATGCTTTAATACAGCAATAGAAAGTAATCAGGTTCTCTTTTTTTTATTAAGATACATCTTCATAAGAAAAATACTTTTACCTCTCAAATGTAAAATCCTCCCACCCCCCACATTAAAATCTCTCTGCACAGGTGTAACAGGTTACAACTGCTGCTGGCTCAACAGATGAACAGGTTTCTGTGTGGATGCACTGTGGAAATTCTCACCCGACTAAGAAGATTCTAAGTATTCCAAAGCTACATCGTAGCAGAAACGGTACTGCTCCTGGAAAACATCACAACAGAAGGGTTGAGAGAAATTAGGAAAAAGGCTAATGGTGGAGAATAGCTGCTAAAGGAAAACTAAACACCCAATTTAGATCACTTGACAGTAGCAACATCACTGTTTTCTATATACAAGAGGAATAGCTAGGCATATTTTACATTGAGTCTAATCATTCCTTGTTTAAGAAAAAGAACAATGAAGAAAAATATTTTATCTTTGCCCACCTATTTTTTTTTGTTAAGAGAATCATTAATTGTCCAGATTAAAAAAAATCTGGTTATAACAGTAATACTTCATCATTACAGAAATATTTCCCAGCACAGAAAAAAAAGCAGAAGAGATATGATTCTTCCATGAGAAGAAATTGTTAAGATAATGCCTTAATTTAATATAATTTTTTAAAGTATATGGTTAAAATGATAATTCTTTTGGAATATTCAAAACATAATTTTATATTTTACTTTATGTGACATTGTTATGTGTCTTTTCCATGGTACTTAAAATCTTTTTAGTATTATACAAAAATCTGTGATATGGATTGGTAGGTGGGTTCTCTATTTTTTTAAACTATGTCTACAAAGATGTGTGCTATTATTTTTCTCCACATTGTCTATTTTCCCCAGGAAAAAAGAAAAGAAAGATAAAAGCAAAGTCAATTATTATGAATTGTTTTTACCAATTTCATTTTTTTTTAAAGCTGGTCATGGGGCTTGAACTCAGGGCCTGGATGCTATCCCTGAACACTTTAAAAAAATTTTTTTTGCCAGTCCTGGGGCTTGAACTCAGAGCCTGGGCACTGTCCCTGAACTTCTTCTGATCAAAGCTAGTACTTTATCACTTGAGCCACAGTGCCACTTCTGGCTTTTTCTGTTTGTGTAGTACTGATGAATCAAACCCAGAGATTCACTCGCGCAAGGCAAACACTCTACCACTAAGCCACATTCTCACACCCGCACTCCCTTCTTACCCCCCCTGCCCCCATTCCTGAGCGTTTTGCTAAGGCTCATGCTCTACCACTTTCAGTTACAACACCTTTTCTGGTTTTCTGGTGGTTGACTGGAGATAAGAGTCTCATCATAAACTTTACCAAGTGGGATGGCTTCAAACTGAGATCCTTAGATCTCAGACTCCTGGGTAACTACGATTACAGGCATGAACAACCAGGGCCCAACTCAAATTTTTAATTTTTGCTTTGGTACATAGTCCACCAGACTACTACTTAAGTAAATTTTACATGGATGGCTACTGATTCTGGAAATTTTCATGGCTAGCTATGTATATATAATTTTATTAATATCCCCTCTCTCTACATCAGATAACTTGGCTGGCAATAAAACTTTGAGTTACACCTAATAATTTGAGTCATAAATCCATGGACTTGGTCCATTATTAAGGATTTAGAAAAATTCTTATAGTGTATTGCAAATTGTGATGTACAATATTTAATTCATTGAAAAGTTTTTAATTTAGTCTAAGTGGTTATACTAGAGAACAATCTGAAATAAATATTATTTATAAATGAATATTACTCATTATTTATAAAAGTTTTACTAAGAAGTATTTAACACTCTTAAGAATTCTCAAAGTAAATATGATTTAAATTAGCCTGCTGCTGTGGCAAGTCCATCTTGTAGATGGTTCTTTAAACCAAAAAAGTGTTGGGAACAGTTCTCTCTCTTTAAACATTCTCTACTAATTTTAACTCTAAAGTTCCTGGCCAAACAACTCAACCCTTTAGCAACCTGAATTAATTATTAACCTTGATTCAACTGGGTATTTAGTAATAATTAGATCTGAATGTAAGAAAAAAATAGTAATATGGAAGATTCCATAAAGGCAGTGTTTAACTACAGAAATTTTAATTTCCAGAAAAGGCAAGATAATAAAGTTAAATGTAGAACAAACATTGAATTCTGAAGACAGGAGTGATTCCCAGAGCCTCAATGTGGCAATTTACAACTCTTCAGATTAGAATGATTTAAAGGCAGAAATAGTACCCCATCCATTTTGTATAAAGATCTGAAAATTCTTCCCCCCAAAATCTTTCAAATTCACCCTTTTCTCAATGTTGATTGCTACCAATCTAGACAAAACCAGCATCATCCTGTCCGTGGGGAAGAGAGAGAGTGAAAGACTTGAGAAAAGGCAGTTATCTGCTATCCTTTGTCAAAATGAAATAGCACAAACCTAAGTCTTCAAATTTTGTCTCAGGAAGCAATTCACCTCTTGTGTGAACAACCCAGAAGCAGGAAGTGGTGAAAATACATGAAAGGTTTATTGAATTGCTCATTTGAGTTATCTGATCATCTTGATAAAGGTAGGGCAATCAACAAGGATGCCTTGGTTTTTTTGGTTTTTCCTCTTGAGTCTCAGCTACACACTTGCTGCTCATCTGAACTATCTTGTACACGTGTGAAACCCAGATATCTTGCTTTAGAAGTAAAAAAAAATGTCAGAGAGGTAATAATCTTTTTACTTTGCATACAGCTTCACCCAAGTGAAACTTGACTCATATATACCCATAGACCATATACCATTTTGAAAGCCATATTCTGATTCTGCAAGCCCAAACTCTTGTGACATCACATGACCTGTACTTTATAGATGATAAAAGCTGAAAAGTGTCAGCAATGATAGTTTAATAATTTCTAATTTAATTAGACAAATCAGAATGAATTCAGTGTCAGCTATCCTTTAAAAATCCAGAGTATGGTTGGGTTAGGGTTGTAGCTCTAGCTTGGGTGAGGACCTGGGTCCCATTACTAGTACTGCAAAGAAGAAAATCAACAAACAGAACAGAACAAAACAAAATACAATTATCTGGGTGTCAAAGACAAGGCAACCTATGAACATGATTGCAAATAAATGTTTTAGTACTTAACTCAATATGCCTTACATAATGAAAATAAAGCTGGGTGCTAGTGGTTCTTGCCTGTAAGTAATCCTAGCTACTCAGAAGGCAAAAATCTGAAGATAGTTTCCAAGTCAGCTCAGCAGAAAAGTCTGTGTGACTCTTAATGCCAATTAATCAGCAGGAAGTGAAAGTGTGAGTCAAGTGGTAGAGTAATAGCCTTGAGAAGAAAAAAAAAAGAAAGAAAGAAAAGAAAGAAAAGAAAAAAAACCCAAAATATGAGCATCTGAGGCCCTGAGTTCAAGTCCCACTAGCAGTAAAAAATCAAACAAAATAAAATAAAAAGGAGAAAAATGAGAAAAGAGCTTTGATAGCAGACTTTCATCTTGAACCATTTACTAAAGATCTTTTAAAAAGCAAATACTGATAATGGGAAAAAATTCAGTATATTACATGAAACCACAATGTTTGTCATTAGTAACAGTTTATGTGACATGTGATGAGCTGACACGGAAGGGAGATACTCCACAATCTAAAAATTAGTGGGAAGATCCCCACAATAGTCTATTTTCTCATCTGTATGAAATGAAATCATTATAAGCCCATTTCTAAGATCCTTTATGAGTTTGAAACCCTGTGACTTACCGGGGCTTCCACCATGTTGGGCTTGCTGTTTCTTAGTGTCTTCACTGCATGGAATACATCTACAACATTCTGTCGCTTTACCATCTCAACAACAATGCCTATAGCACAGAACATGCCACTTCGCCCACCACCATTTCTGAAAGTAGAGAAAACAAATTTATTTTTGGCAGCTCTAGGGAACCCTAAGCCATAATATTACATTTATTTGAGAGAAGAAAACATTAGCTTTTAAATGTTGTTCCATTTGTGTTTGATTTTGCTCTCTGTAGGTGCATGTGTGTGTATGGGGCAGGAAATAGGAAATACGAGACTGAGTTAGCTCAGGAGCTTCCTGGAGGAATAACCTGGATACCTTGACATTTAGTGTAGTGTTCAAAAGAGTTTAAATCATAAAGCAATTCTATAACAATATTTAGAGAATATAAAAATGAAAGTCAGTTACTGGTTTATCCTATTATGAGAAATATGGTAGATTCAAGAGTTTCATTTTTTTTTTATTGTGAAAATACTGTACAGAGGGGTTACAATTACATGGGCAAGATCATGAGTACATTTCTTATCAAGCATTGTAGCCTCCTCTTGTTTCCCCTTCCCATCCCTTCCCATCCTCCCCCACCTCCGCCCGTCCCCCCCCCACCAAAGTTGTAAAGTTTGTTTTCCACATAACGACTTGTACATCTCATTGTTGCATTGTTGCAACAATGTTGTTGATCTACCTGTATCCCTATTTGAATGATTTGTTTTTTCCCTTCCCCTCCACAAATTATACCAACATCAAATACATTGAAGGCAGGGGTTATACCGTGGGGGAGGGACATACAAAGCAACAAAGAAATAATCTTATAAATGTATTAGAAACAATCTCATGAAAGAAAAAAACATTTGAATACATATCTTAGGGTTCATTTCCCTAACATCAACTTATCTGAACTTTTCTGCTTGACTCAGACATATACTAGTTA